GTAATGAAAAGAGAGAAATAAGCCATAACTGAATAGTCTTAAATACCAAATGGAGGAGTTTCTATCTGATACTAGAGGTACTAGGGAACCACTGTAGTTTATTCAATCAGGAGACATGGTAGGAATTCTACTTTTTAAAAATCACTTTGACATTATAAAATATTTAGGAGTCTACCTACCAAAACAAACCCAGGAACTCTATGAACACAATTACAAAACACTTTTCACACAAACAAAATCAGATCTAAATAATTACAAAAATATCAGTTGCTCAAGGGTAGGCTGAGCTAATATAATAAAAATGACAATCCTACCAAAACTAATTTATTTATTCAGTGCCATACCAATCAAACTACCAAGAAATTATTTTATAGAGTTTGAAAAAATAATAACAAGATTCATTTGGAAAAACAAAAGGTCCAGAATATCAAAGGAACTAATGAAAAGAAATGCAGGGAAGGTGGCCTAGCAATTCCAGATCTTAAATTGTATTATAAGGCAGCAATCATCAAAATTGCTTGGTACTGGCTAAGAAATAGGGAGGTGGATCAGTGGAACAGGTGAAACATGCAAGAAACAGTAGTCAATGACTACAGTAATCTATTATTTGATAAACCCAAAGACCCCAGCTTCTGGGATAAGAACCCACTCTTTGAAAAAAAACTGCTGGGAACACTGGAAAAGAATATGGCAGAAACTAGGTATAGACCCAAATCTCACACCATATACCAAAATAAAGTCAAAATGGGTTCACGACTTAGATATAAAGGCTGATACCATAAGTAAACTGGGAGAACAAGGAATAGTTTACCTATCAGATCTGTGGAGAACAGAAGAATTCATGACCAAATAGGAGATAGAGAACATTATGAAAAGCAAAACGGATAATTTTGATTACATTAAATTGAAAAGGTTTGCACAAACAAAGCCAATGCAACCAAGATTAGAAGGAAGGTAGAAAATTGGGAAAGAATTTTTACAACCAGTCTCTCTGATAAAGGCCTCATTTCTAAAATATATAGAGAATTAAGACAAATTTATAAGAACACAAGCCATTCCCCAATTGATAAATGGTCAAAGGATATGAACAGACAGTTCTCAGATGAAGAAACTGAAGCCATCTATAGTCACATGAAAAAATGCTCTAAATCGTTATTGATGAGAGAAATGCAAATCAAAACAACTCTGAGGTACCACATCACACCTATCAGATTGGCCAACATGACAAAACAGGAAAATGATAAATGTTGGGGAAGATGTGGGAAAATTGGAACACTAATGCATTGTTGGTGGAGTTGTGAAATGATCCAACCATTTTGGAGAACAATTTGGAATTATGCCCAAAGGGCTATAAAAATGTGCATACCCCAATTTGATCCAGCAATAGCACTTCTGGGGCTATATCCCAAAGAGATCAAACAAATGGGAAAAGGACCCACATGTACAAAAATATTCATAGCAGCTTTTTTTTGGTGGCCAAGAATTGGACATTGAGAGGATGCCCATCCATTGGGGAATGGCCGAGCAAGCTGTGGTCTATGAATATAATGGAATACTGTTGTGCTACAAGAAATGATGAGCAGGCGGACTTCAGAAAAACCTGGAAAGACCTGTACGGAACGATGGTGCTGCCCTCAACAATAACAGAGGAATTCAGAAGAGGGCTGGGTTTGAAAGAAAATGGGAAGACGAGTTCTGTTTTGGACACGATGAGACTGAGACAAGTACGGGGCGGCTAATTCAGAGTGTCCAATAAGCAGTTAAATATGAAGTATTGGAGCTCAGGAGAGAAATGAAGGTTGGAAAAATTGTATGGGAGTCATCTGCCCTTAGATGAGCCACTTGCTACAGCACTCAATACAGTGTGGAGTACACAGTAGGCTCTTAATAAGTGTTTATTGAATGAATGAATCTGCAAACAGATGATAAGGAACCCATGAGAGGTAGCCAAGGACACAGGGTCATTACAGGGAAGCCAGGTCTTAGTGAGCGCCGGAAGACAGAAGCAGCAACAGAGGAAGTGGTGTGAGACAAAAGGGAATGTGTGAATTATGGAAGAGGAGATCCAGAAATCATAATGGATGAGGTACAGATTAAGAAAAATAAAAGGTCTACCTGCAGGGGGCTGTCCTTGGTTTCCCTATAAAAATTAACTTCCTTGATCTGAAACCCTACAAAAGAAGAAGCAGGAAAGTGTGAACATTTTTCAGGACCACTGTCAGATTTTTATTAGCATCTAACTCAAAGGGACCTTAGGGGCCATATAGGGCAACACCTACACATGACCAGTAAGGTAAAGGAGACCCTCAGACGCTCAGGTTCTTCTCCAAGCGTATACAGCTAGAAAAGAACAGGGTCACAATCTGAAACCAGTTCATTCTCCTCAGCGTAGATTCAGGACTCTATACATGCTCTGATCCATTGTTCAGGTCCTGTAGAAGTGGGAAGGTGCTTTTTTTGGTTTTTTTTCAGTCACTTTAGATTTGTCCTCATAGTCTGATGCAACATATCTTTCAGGAGGATCTGCAGGCCTTTTTAGGAAGTTAGCATCCATCGAAAGTGAGATATCTGGGTAGAAATTCACTTCAATTCAACAAGCTTTAATTCAAAAGTATGTTGGAATTAGTGAATATTTGTTCAACGGTCAACAAAAGAGGAGCATAGGTTTCCCAGGCAAATCCTTTAATCTTCTTGGGTCACAGTTTCCTCATCTGTAAAATCAGGAGTTGAACTTGATGGCCTCTAAGGTTTTTCAACTCCATAAACAATCCTCTTCCAGAAATCCAGCTGAAACGATGATACTTCTACCCTATAGGAAAGAAGTAGGAACAGTAATAGAAAGTATAGGAAATATGAGAACCTGGCTCATTCTAGGGCAAAATCTGATAATCCTGAAAATAACCCCAAATTGGAATGGGCAGGATTGTAAAGGAAGAAGAGGGGATGTCAGCACCAATTAGCCACCAACACAAGGATGGAGATATAGAGAGGGTAATGGGGCAGGCTGAGAGATGGAATAAAGGCATGTACTAAGCCAGATCAGTAGCTTTAATAGGACTATAAGTAGTGCAGAACTAGAATTCCAGTTACCAGAGAAGCTAAAACTGGCTGATCTTTTAAGTCCAGGTATTCTGAGCTCTAGTAGGCTGGGCCAAATGGCTGTTTACACTAAATCCAATACCAATATGGCAAACACCCGAGAGGGAAGGACCCCTAAGGAGGGGCGAACTGGCCTAAGTGGAAAACAGAATAGGTCAAAGCTCCCCATCAGTAGTGGGATCAATACCTATCAATAAGTAGGGTGAGTGACTGTGTCAGTAGGGGGATTAAACCATTAGCAGCCTTCTCATTTCCAGTAGGGGGTAGTTAAGAAAATTCAGTCTCAAAAAAAAAAAAGGCTGATAGGTTTGAATTGAATATAGTTGCTAAGGAGATGGCAAGTGGGATTCCAACTACGTATGGGAAACAAGCTCAGTAGCTTTTTGGTGTTGGGTAAATCCAGTCTCCTCTATTCTCCCTGACTCTAGAAAGTCGTGATTCAGGGAAGGTCAGGAGAAAACAGGAGATGCGGTATTGGGTACGGGACTGGATGAGATGACTTCCTAAGGTCTGTTCCAACTCAGATTATGATTAGATGGAAACTTAGTTAAGGTGGCATACCAAGGCACTACAAAAATATTTTATTTTTAAACATACATGTAAATTTATTTACATATATATGTAAATCAAACAGAAAAGACTGACAAGGTGTGAAAGGACAAAAAAGGGGCCCACAGTTCGCCCTAAGTAGATGAAAAGTAGAAGACAGTGTCAGGGGAAACCAGGCATGGTGGTGCAATGTGGTAGCTAAAGGAGAACACTCCAGTCCCAGAATGAGCACTTTCTGCTATTGTCTGCTTCAAAGAATCATAGAATTTCATAGCTAGAAGTGATCTGAGAGGTCATTTAGTCCAAGGTCAGTGCCCACACAAAGTACATATCTTAGCCAGAAGATCCCTGCCAAGCAGTCACCCAATATCTACTTAAAGAACTCCAGTGATGGAAAAATCATTACTCCCATCTTTAAGGCAACCAATTCCTGTATGGGCAGTTCTAATTGTAGGAAGTTTGTTTTTTATTCTTTATGCTGAACCAAAATATTCCTACTAAAAACATCAGATATTTGTCCTAGATTTTTTTTACTCTTATAGAGCCAGGCAGAAAAAATTTTTTTACCTCATTTCCACATGATCATCTTTTACATATTTGAAGGTGGCTTTCATGCCTTCTCTCTTTCACCTACCCTGAGATTTTTCTCTTAACTAAGCTAAGTAACCTCAGATTGAAAACAAATTCTTTTATGGCACACTTTTTGAGTCTCTCTTCTTCCCTCTTCACTGCTCACCTATGGGCATGCCCTGGTTTACCAATATCATTTCTAAAATGTGGGACACACCATGGCCCTATCACACTGGATGTGGAGGGAGCTACCAATTGAGGTTGTGTGTATGATTTTCATTGGCACAATCTTACCGAGATATTGAGAAACAAGTAAGATAAGATGGCTCGATTGACTTTAAAAGATAGAAAACAGGTGTTCAGATTAAAACTTAAGAGAAATCAGTTTTCCTGAGCTTAAGAAGTGGCCTGATGCAATAAAAGGGGGTCAGAGGATTAGAAGGAGGTTAACCAGTTATTCTACAGGTCCACAGAAAAGTCAAGTAGAGAAATGAACTAGAATTAAGCAAGAAAAGAATGCCCTTGGCCAGAAGCCAAAGCTATACGAGATATGGGCTCCTGAGGGAGGCTGGAGGGTGGACATTCAAGGGGAATGTCCTGGCTTGGGAGGTCTTCTACCTGCTTGAATGCAAGAAGCTGTGGGAAGTGACCTATCAAAGTTCTTTCCAGCTCTATGACTCTTTGACTTCATAATTCTATTACTTTATGACCAAATGACTATGATTCCTATATAAAGTGGAGTTAAGAGTCAAGCGAACCAAGTGAACTTGGCAGAGGAGCAGAGCACAATGTTGGCTGTGATGTCGACCAACCTGTTTTCTTAGCCTACTTCTGGCAAAGAATCAATGATGATATCACAATGTTAAAACCTACCCCCAAAGGAGAGAGCTCCCTGCAGACAGGGAAGTTAAAAATTAGTGCGGTTCCCTACAAACGTCAAGGTTTTGTGCCAAGTGTACTGAAAGGAGAGCCGAAGTTGCTGGGGGTAAGTCAGCCTTGCTCAAAGGGAGAATCCATGGGGGAGTGTGCCGTACACATCTACTCACCGTTTTCACTGTCTCTTTATCCAGGTTCTTCATATCCTGATAGGCTTGATCATCATTGCACTTGGAGTCTTTTTATTTTCCAGTATCAACCAACTCAAGCTTCCAAAGTCAAAAGCTCCCATCTTGCATGTCACAAAATATCCATACTGGGCAGGAGCATGTGTGAGTAAAGTAAATGAAGTAACTCTGGACACGGAGTCAGGCCACTCTGAAACTCTTAATACATTCCATGAACTCAGTTCTCTGAATGGAACTGAAATCTTGGGCTTCAGGAATCCTACAGGGGATAGTAGAAGGATAATAGAAGAACGGCCCCATAATATATGGGTAGCGGTAGAACAAAATTAGGGTTTGGACATTCTATTCCTATGCAGTCACTGAGTATTGTACCAGTCCCTATAAATCCACCACTGCTGTGAAAACTGGACTGATATAGAGATTGTCTGAAGAGTTCTCAAAATTATTCCCTTAAGGGAAATAGGAAAAGCAAAGTCATATGAAGGACTGAGGTAACAAATAGTAGTGGGAAGAATAGTGAACCTGGACAATCAAGAGACCTGAGTTCAAATTCCAATTGGGATACGTACTACCTGTGTCCCCTTTTTCAAAACACTAAAATCCCTGTGCCTCAGCTTCCTCATTGGTAAGATGTAGGGGTTGGACTGGATGACCTCTAATTTCCCTTCCAGCTCTAAACCTACGATCCTAGAAGGCCAAATGACAAAAGCCAGAATTTGTAGAGTGCTTCAAGGTTTGCAGAGTGTTTTATATATGTGAGTTCACTGGATCCTCACAAAAATCCTGTAAGGTAGGGACTATCATTATTACCATTTTACAGATGAAGAAACTGAGGCCAAGAGGGGTTAAGGGACTTACTCAGGGACATAGAGCCAGCAAGTGTCTGAAATCAAATTTGAACTCAGGTCTTCTGCCTCTAGCTCCCAATGGGTCACCTAGTTGATAAGAATGTGGTTGGCGGATGGAACCGCTATCTACTTCACTGCCCGCCCTCCTGGTTCTGGATCCCTTATTCATACCTTTGCATGGGTCATGTTCCAAATCTACCATGGACCAAACCACTACTCTACTCAAAAATTTTCATTGGTACCTCACTGCCTACCTAATAAGACTTCCTTATCTCAACATTGAGAGCCTTTCAACGCCTGTTTCCAGCTTCACCTCATACCAGTCTACTTCCCATACTTGCCTTTCCATTCAAACTGAAGAGTTCACTCTCTGCATTCTTGTTCTGCCTTCTCCCATCTCCAAGGCTTGACTCATTTTATTTCCTGCCCCAAGCCTAACCTCCCCTATTGAAATCAAGGCCAAACAGCTCCCACCTCCTCTATGAAGACTTCCCTGATTCTTGCAAATGAAAGTGATCTCTCTCCCACAAAACTTCATGACAGTCTATCTGGAGCTCTATTTTGTCTTTACTAGATTGTAACTTAAATCACTGAAAAATGTTTCATCCTAGCATTAACCTTCTTATCACATTATGATATTTCTTTGCTGAACTGACTTCTTTGGCCTCTGCCTTGAGAATCTGATGATCAAGCTAGGTGGAACTGGCAGAGGGGGAGAGGGAGCGGGGAGCAAACTAAATTAGTAAATGTTCAGGCAGCAGAAGCTGTTTCATATGCACTAACACATCACTCTGCTTTCACAGTATGTCATTACAGGATTCGTTACAGTTTTTAGGACACGGTTTGTCCAAAGGAAGGTAAGAAATAGTCTCTTGGTGATTCAAATTATTTTCATGATTTAACAGTTTCATGTCTCTTGACTTGGGGTCTATGAACGTTTTAAAAATATTTTGATCACAGTTTTTCAATACAATTGGCTTTCTCTGGAATCCTATGCATTTAAAAACATAATTCTGAGAAGAGGTCCACAGGCTTAAGTGGTCTGACTGCCAAAGGACTCCACCCACAACAATAAAGAGATATTCTAATGGACCTATGATCTCAATGTTATAGAAATTCCACCCAATGTTGCATCTCTTAGCCCACTGTACATGCCCATCTTGCCTGCCTTTCCTTTTTTTTAATGATTAACCATGGAAGCCCCAATACCCTGGAAGCCTTCCTTATGTGCTCCTGGAATTTCCCAGATATCAATGCTCTCAACATGTGATTGGCCTAGCTTCCTACCCCCTACCCCCAAACATTCTTGTCTTTGATAAAATCCTTTGCAACATTTCCACTGGGCAATTCCTCATTTGTAACATTTTGTCATTTATACCATGAGTGTCTCTGTTGCCCTTTGGATAATCTTGAACTCCAAATTTTTGATGAATCTATTATTCCGTGACTCATAGCCATATACTATCAACAGAAGAAAATATCAGTGTTCTTCCCTCCACAACCCCAAAAAAATCACTGGGTCCCCAATAATTCCCCCTGGGTCAGCACATATATACAATTGAAGTATTTTTATTTATCATTATCACCATTTATCTACATCATGCTACCACCCTATATCCTTAGGGTTAATAAAATGAAAACGTTTACCTGCAGAAAACCACTCTGGACTTCTATATGAAAATTCTATAAAAAGAAAAGGGAGAAAGCATCAATTTCTTTAGGGCCTGTGGTATAAATTCTATTAAGACATTCAAGCCACTTTTTCTCATACTCTAGGGATTTGGACACGTGCTTTTTGTCAGTTATTTTTGGCCTGTCTTCAGCCAAACTGCTGAATTTTCCTTAAAAAAAAAAAAAAGGAAAAAATCTGATCATGAGGTTAGGACATAACGGGAAGGGAAGTTAGATTTTAACTAATGCAAAAAATATATGGAGAAAATCTACCTTTTTCTCCCTCTGTATGTTGACTTGGGTAAGTGCCTACCAAGGTGAAAGCTGTTTAGAGGGCAAGCTTCTCCAGGCTAAGTCCTACATTCCCCCCGGGGATTCAGTTCTTACAAATCTTAAATAAAGGGGCTGGACTAGATCATCTCCAAGGTTCCCATGAGCTTAAGTCCTGTAATCATACATGCTTACCCTAAAATTCAAATTTCTTTGTCCTTAACTCAAAGTGGGACAAAGTGTCAGTTCAGCAGTTGTGACAGCGACAGCGGTTTCACGGAGAAAACTCAAGATGGTAATTTTTCAGCTCTTTACATACTTTTCCAAGGAGCCTTGATTCCTGACAATTCCCTCTGTAGGCTTTCTCCCTGAAGCTGATAGTCATACTTAAAAAACCTACAAGTATTTATTAAGAATCTACTATGTGACAAGCATTATGCTTGGTGCTAGAGACACAAAAAGAACCAGGAAGCCATCCATGACCTCAAGGGGTTTACATTCTAGTAGGAGAGACAGGTATCTAAGTATATAGAAGAGACATAAAATGACGACAAGGCAATTTGCGGGGTGGGGGGCAGTAGCACCTAAGAGAAAGGCCATCTAGAAGGAAGGTATCACCTGAGCAGAGTTCTGAAGATAATGAAGTATTCTACAGACGTGAGAAGGGAGGTTACCAGAGAGCAAAGCAAGGAGATAGGAGTAAGGCAAGGTGAGCTGTGTGAGGAACAGCAAACAGGCCAGTGTGACTTGGTCTTAGCATTCAGGAAGGGCTGTGCCCAATTCTGAGCCATCTCGACTCTCCCCAAACCAAACAGAAAGCCTTGATCTAGAAAGCTCTCCTTAAGAAGCATGTCTGATTTTTGTAACTAATTTCATAACAGATATATAAAATAAATGCAGGAAAAGAGCTAAGGGCAAAAACCTCACATGTGGCAAACTGGCATCTGTGTGGGCCCAGATCTCTGTCTGTCATCTTATATACTTGTGTTTGGGGTAAATACAGGACCTCACGGGAAGGGCAGAGAAATATGAAGAGAAGGCATATCAACATCCACAAATGGGTTCCCGAAGGGCCTTGGACAAGGAGAGTCCTTCACAATGGAACGGGGCATTGTCCTCAGCATCTGGGATGGGCCCTCATTCTTATCTTTCTACCTCCATTTTCTCCCAACCCTAGTCTGTCTCTGCGTTCACTTTCAGGGTCTCTGATTCCTCTGTTGATTTGCTAAGTCAAGCTAATAAGCTCTGTACAATGCTGGAAAGGCCAGGGGCTGAGTCTCTTTTCTCAATCTCTTTCAGAATCACATAAGTAGTTTCCTGGGTATTCTAAGTATCTTGGTATCTGCGAGCGGGATTGCTCTACTGCTCTACAGCTTAGCCCAGGAAGAGCTCTTGCCCTGTGCATCCCCTTTATCAGGAGGCATATGTTCCATCGGAACAATCCTCCTTCACGTAAGTGTTTTACCGCATAGACTGAAATCCCATGCCATTCCCTGAACAAGCATTTTTCGAGTACCTAGTACGTACCAAGCTCTGTGCTAAGGAGCTCACAGTCTAACAGGGAAACCAATAGGCAAAGTTTACACTTTGAAAGTAAAGTTCCGTTGTTAATTTTTTTTCAAAGCTTAGTTAAATTTTAGTTTCTTTAGTTCGTTTATTGAATTGTGACTGAGGAGTGAATACTTGGTTGCCTTAAAAAATAAGAAAGAAATAAAATTCTCTGGCTGTACACGCTAATGACACAGGCTTGGGCAGCATGCCTGTGCCTGTCATGAGGCACTGCTTCTCTTTGGGCTATTTGCAATTGGAGGTGGCTCATTCCTAAGTGTTCTTTGCCCATCTCTGTCTCTTGCAGGGTATTTTGTCTCTCTTGCTTATCCTTACTACAGCCCAGATGTCCATCGCTGCAACACTCGTAGCTTTTCATTGTACAGGAACGAGGAAAAACCTTGCAAATGAGGTAAGCTCAACATCGCCATGAGAATCAAGACAGGTTGTGTCCATATTGGGAGATGATTTGATTTTCAGTGACCTGTTTGGTTGTATCAAAATCCTGTGACTAGGCGGGCTTAGGGAGGTGACATTAAAATTGACAGGGGAGTAGAAGTGCATTTTTACTTGGGAAGAAGAAACCTTTCCTTCTGTGATCCCAACCTTCACTGCCTTTTCTTCAGTCTCTCAGCTGTCTACAAAAACTGACTTTTACAAATATTCCTTTCTCCAATTCACTGATAACAAATAAAAGCTAAATTCTTGCTGCTCTGGGAAGGAAGCCACTACACACCTACATTTTCCAAGTCCTCATCACACAGAGAAAAGGAAGGTCACATTTCTGGAAGGGATGGTTTAAGTGAAAATAAGTTATCTGTGTAATAGAGTTTTGACATATACCCAGATCTCCTGAGATGGGGACACCCATGTGGAAGACACCAGGTACCTAGCAATATTAGGATACTGGGAGAAGACATTCTCTGTCAACCTACCATTTGGGTAAGAGCCACCTCTCTCCATTGGCTATGCCACTGCAGCTGGAATTGGCTGTGTCCACAAAACTGCAAGACTGGGACAGTCTGTCTGTCTGTCTCCTTCTCTCTCTGCCATATTAGAGGTTGGAGTAGAGATACTTTTTACCCAAAGCATAGAGACACCAAGGGCTACCTCCACCCTGCACTACTCCACCCCTACACCTCAATCCTTTTGGTTTGTTTCATTTGTCCTTTTCAGTTGTAGGAACAAGCAGTAGAGTCAGGGGCTTGAGCCATGACAATTCTGGAGGCGAGAATCCAAGCAGGATGTTTATGCCAACCCTGAGAAATGTCCCTTTCCATGAAGGGCACACTAAAATTCTCTAGGAATCCCTTGACCATAGGCAACCCCCACAGAGGTTCAAGCAAATTTCCTCTGGGTCCAAAGGGCATCCAAAATTCTCCCTATGTATCTCTGCCACTTCAGGGGTCATCCATATGGAATTGTAAACTTACCCAAAAGTACAAGAAGAGGGGCAGCCAGGTGGCGCAGTGGATAGAGCACCGGCCCTGAAGTCAGGAGGACCTGAGTTCAAATCCTGCCTCAGACCAAACACTTGACACTTACTACCTGTGTGACCCTGGGCAAGTCACTTAACCCCAATTGCCTAAAAACAAAAAAAAAAAAAAATTAAATTAAAAAAATAAACAAAAGTACAAGAAGACAAGTACGTTCAGTTAGAAATGTATCAAAGAATTCAACTGCTGGTGGATTTTAAATACCGACATTCTTACTCTAAGAAGTTGAAGGCCATATAGCTCTCACAAAAAAGACAAGCATCCTGGATCTGTTTAAATGTAAAAACAACAATATGAACATTTCTATTAGGCAGTGGCATTCTAACATAGAAAGCCATAATTTCTTACCTTATACAGGCTTTAACAGAATCCAAAGAACTTTCAGTCAATCAAAAGAACAATGAAAAATCTCCCCCCTAAAAAAGTATAAGTAATTGAGTAATCAACTAATGAAGTTTGCAAAATTACATCAGTGGAACTAACTTGTGAGGAAAACCACTCTAAAAAAAATGCAACTATAAAGTCTAATTTTCCTTCCTCTCTCCCTCCCTTCCCTCCCATCCTTCCCTTTTTTCTTTTCCTAATTTATCTAGAATCTCATTAGGGTTTCTAAAGTAAAAACCCCAGACAGAGAATGTCTCCAGCAAAGCGCCCAATTTTATCCAGACAAGGCCCCACACGTAACAGTGATTATCCTGGCTCCCACTCCTGTAGGTTCCATTGTCCTCTTCCCTCAATGTTCTCCATTTCCCTGAAGTTGGTTTGGGAGTTTCTCACCACTGACTCAAGCCCCCATCAATGGTATTCCTCTAATTTCAGAGGCCCCCCTGGCATCTCAGTTCCATTTAACCACTTAGTCATATTAGTTTTTACAAAGGATATTAACTTCAAATTATAGTAATAACAAACATAAAAGTTTGCCACCAACTCACCCCCAATTCCACCTCAACATCTGAGAAAGAGAAGGGAAATCGAGTCACAACTTAACTCAGTTCCTATAGAGTAGACCTGCACAACTTGGCAGTAGGTAGGAGCCAAAATTAAAATAGGCTCAACTTCTTCAGGCTGCAGACAGGTTTTTAGCACTTCACTTTCCAAGTAAAGCTATGATTAATGATTAAACTATTTTGCAAATCTATACTTTTTTAAAAATGGAAATTTCAATTAACATCAATTAATTACACTTATTACTTAAGATTTTTATTTATCATGAAATCACCTTAATGTTAAAAAAAATTACTTTGCTGCACTCACTTTGTCTCTGCCACGAACAATGGAAAACACAGCAAAAAGAGATGACTCTCGCTCTTCTCAGACTACAGACAGACTGATGCTGCTTGGTTGCCATGGGTCATGTGACAAACAGGAGAGAGTGCGCAGTGACAATCCTCCTGCCAGGTTACAAGTGACTAGTGCAAGGTGGGGTCCACGGACAAAGCGCTCGTTAGGTCTTTACTTTCTTTTCCATCCCCCACATTTTTCACAGGCTACTCGAAGTCCTTTGGTGGCTGAACCACATGTTGTACAGGCCTGCTATACAACACAGCTCTACCAGATTCCAAGTCCAAAGCCCCAGGGCTTCTCCAGCTTGCCTGGCAAGCTGGCAGCAACAACCAGCATTGAATCTTGCCTCCAAGACAGCTATGGCTTGAGTTTCAGGATCTGGATATTTTACTGATTACAGCTAGAACTGAAAAGGACAAACAAAACAGACTAAAGAATCTTAGATCTTTCAGTATATGTCCTTCCTCTATGGGGGTAGATTACAGCTCAACCATGCTTGTTCATTCTGGATGAACCTCAGAATCACAGATCTACAGTTAGAAGGAAATTTAGTGATTATTTAATCTAACCTCATATTATAAAGGAGGAAAGGGGGTGAGCAAAAGGTGTTCAACAGAAACACACTTAAAAGAAAAAAACAAAATGGAAAAAAATTATGACAAATGTCATAGATTATAAACTTGACCTTTTAAATATATAAGGAACTGTTAAAAAGTCAACATGGTAATTCTCAGGCTACAACTGGTAAATGGTCAAAGGATATCAACAGAATTGTCAAAAAAGGAGAAAGAAAGTTTAGATAATCACTTTAAAATATTCAACTACACTAATAATCAAACAGATACAAAATAAAACAACTCTGAGATAGCATCTCATGCTGTGGTGGGTGACGACTAGGAAATAATCTGAGCTATACAACAGGCATAACAAATGGGTCAACAGATTTCCCAGTTGATCCAAAGAACTTAAATACAGAGTGAGACAGATTTTACGTATTAAAAACAATCAAATAACACTAATTATTTAAAAGAAAACAATTAACCAGAATATAAAATTAACTAGGTAATCTGATTTCTAATTGGAAGAAAGATTAGGGACCTTCCAAGTTGGCAAGGAAGAGGATAAACTAGTGCATTTCCCTGATATCAGAGAAAGAGGTGTCCCACTCCTCCCCAAGTGTGTCTGTTCAATCAAAGAACATGGAAACACTAACTGACTGACCAGCATGAGAACAGTTTTCAGATAAGACATATGGGTTGCTTGAGATGTATAATTGTGAGAAAACTCCTTTGCACCAAGTTTTGGATCTGACTGGTTTCTGGTCAGCATAACCTAGATCCTTAGTTAAAGCAACAGGTAGAGTTGGTCCAGCTTCCCAAGTCACGAAGGTTAGGTTCAAACAATACAATAAAGTTTTCTCACAGTTCCCACAACTGAATAAAGTCTTCTCATAAGGCAGAAATTGGACTAGACCCATAATTGAACAGAAAGGGAACTGATCTAGCTCAAGAATTGAGTCACAACACAGAGTCAAAGTGGTTCATTCAATTTTCACAAATTCCCTCTTTTGATTCATGGGGAAGGGACCAGTCCACTCCCCTCATTGTCACTTATCTATAAGTCAAATCTATAAGATTTGTTATATATTCATAATCAGAATTACAAAAGTCAGGCTACAGATCAAAGTATTTAGAGGGCTCACAATGATATAGCTGTTTTGAGAGGGGAGATATACATGTCAGCAAGGTAACCTAGAAAACTCAGCATGAACACCATGAAAGAAAAGGCCAAAACAATACAATGACTGTCATCAATATTAAATAATATCATTTCCTTGTATCCTAGTGACCCAATCCCAATATTCATTTCATAATTTTATCTTCTTTTGAGTCCCAGATGTCCCGTGGAGTCATCTGATTCCTGGGTATACCTTCTCTTGGACATTCTGAAATAGGCCTCATTCTCAGGGCAGCTCTAAAGGGGGCTCTGCTTCTCTGGTTCCAGATCACTTTTAGAAATTCCCAGGTAATTCTGCTAAAACATGCCAGTAAAAAGACTTAACACAATTCAGCATAATCTCTTGAATCAGGTTTTCCAATCACTAGTTCATGTAGTGAAAACTAGCTCAAGCTTTATGGTTCTGATTCTGTGAACAACAGAGCTATAAGAGGAACATTAGATTAGGAACTCATAATTCACCTGAAACTTCAAAGAATTTCAGTTTTTATATATCGCTAGCTGTTTTTATCTTTACCAAATCCTGTGTCTGACAAAAAAATCTTTTTTTTCTTAAATTCATGAGGGTCTGACTTGTAAAATAAACTCTTCTGTCTTAAATTATTGGATACTTTAAAAAATGGGAAAATAATTTCACTTTCTTTACAATTATCAATGCAATTTTACATGTAAAATCCTTAATCCAATTTTGAGAACTTATTATTAAAACATAATCAAAGTGTGAATTTTCGTACTACAAACATACATCTCCATACTTCCAAGAATACATTTAGAAGACAATTATATACATACGTATATAGTTCTTAGAGAAAATAGTCTAAGCCTGTTGCTTTTTAAAAATTTATTATTTCATTTAATTAGAGAACTTTTACATTGCATCTTTCTCTTATAACTT